AGGGTGAAACCAGGCTGCTCCTTGGAGACAAGGATTCTGAAGCTCTGTCTGACATACTTTGGACATGTTGCAAGGAGGAACCAGTTCTTGGAGAGGGACATCATGCTTGGGAGGGTGGAGGGACAACGAAAAAGACAAAGACCCTCAATGAGATGGATTGATTCAGTGACTGGAGTAACTGTGATAGGTGTGTCAGAAATAGTGATGTTGGCTCAGGATAGAGCAAGGTTCAGAGCAGTTGTCCATAGGGCTGCTACAAGTCTCACACAACTCAAAGGCAAATAACAACAACAGCAACATACCCAAAGAATGTGAGATGAAGCTTTACCATCTTTGCCTCCAAGAAACACTCTGGCTTCACCTTCTCCAAGTCACATCTGTTTGTTCTTTTGGTAGTACTCTTCAATACCATAACTCAAAGGCTTCAACTTATTCACTGTCTAGATCTCTGATGTATAGCAAGTGATTGAAAAGACCGTAGCCTAAATCAGGTGAACCTTAATCCTCAAACTAACATTATTGCTTCTCAATAATTAAGAAAGGTCTCTGACAGCATATTTTCTCAGTGCAATACATCTCCTGAGCTCCTGGTTGTGGTTACCAAATGCATTGATTGTGGATACTAGTAAGATGAAGTTGCTGACAGTGATGCCTGCCGCCTATCAATACAGTGGGGAAAATTTTGTTTTCTTGATATTGAGAAGCAATCCATATTGAAGACTACAGTGTTTCATCTTCTGCAGAAGTGTTTCAAGTCCTCATTTCAGCAAGCAAGGTTGTATCTTTTGCATAATGCAAGTCATTGATGAGTCTTCCTCCAATTCTGATGTTACATCTTCATAGACTCAAGCTTCTTGAATAATATGCTATAATACCTAGTAAAAGTAAAGGTTTAATTTTTTTAAAGTGCTTATTTATTACTATGAGTAGGTTTGGTAGTATTTATCCCACAATGAGGTGTGTAGTCTTTGGTAGAAATTGAGGCCAAGGATAGTATATCTTCAGTTAATTACAGTTTCCAGGACACTAAGTAGTGATAGTCTCTCTATGAGGATTCCTAGTGATACTCTAGTTATAACACTGATATGATAAGCAAAAGGCTTGTGCTTCTCTGCCAATATGGAAGAGAAATGTGACAGTCTACTTCTGTAAAGACTTAGAGCCTTGGAAACCCTATGAGGCAGTTCTACTCTTCCATAGCATCATCACTATGAGTCAAAATCAACTTGATGACAGTAAATCTGACTTTATTGTTCTTGACTCTTTTGCTTTGTAAGGATGTGTGGCTGTTTGTTTTTTGCCTTGTTTTATTTAGTCCATATTCAGTATTACTTTTACCTCTATTAAGTATATGACCTTACTTAAAATACTTGAGACCATAAGAGACAAAAAGCATTTTGGAAGGAGTCAAGCTATATCTTAGTTATATTGTTGCTCTGTTGTAGAGTCATGTGGCAGCTCAGTCACAATATTCCTCCCTCTTCCTCCAAGTCTCCGTGAGAAGAAACTTTAGGCCCCAGATGGAAACCTCGGAAGGATGCCCAACTCATCAGCTCTAGGGGCCAAGCCCAAAATGTCTTGGGGCATGAAACATGGCTGTGTTTTCCCTCCAACTCAGAAGCTCTATGCTATATTTAGCAGGGTGGATGAAGTGTTGTCCCCAGGGCTTTTCAGGGATTGGAAATCAACATACCATTGCCAACTCCAGTACAAAAGGACCCCTAGGTCTGTCAACTAGTAACCCTTCCCTCCAGGGTTACTCTGCATCCAACACACTTAAAAGATGCGCAGATCTCCTCTGTCGGACCACGGTGTTTGGGAGGGAAAAGATAAATGACTTCCTACCGACTGCAGCAAGAGGAAACAAGCTAATGCTGCCACAGGAATGAAGAAAGTTACTCAGCCAGAAGAATGTCTGAGGGTGCTGCTATTTGTAGGTGAGATTGAGAGAGAGGTTGAGAGAACTGTCTTCCCAAGAATGGACAAATAAACTGTTTGGGGGAAGAGAGTAGGAGCGGTGCCTCTAGCAAGCACGTTCGTGGCTATTTTCAGACTTGCACAAGCACCACTCAGGAGCACCCCAAACACATCCAGAATGTGTCCAGAGGCTTCCTGATGGGTCTCCTGAAAAGGTATCCTCTCTATCCTTTCCTACTAGAAGAGTAGAGGCTGGGAACTTGCAAGAGGAGTCAACATATAGAGAATGGGTGTGTATATAATATTTTTCTGGTGTAAGGATTTGATATTCTTCATATGTTTTTTTTTTAGAGATAGTAGCATGTAGCAGTTAAGAGTGTGGCAAACTTTGTAGCCAACCACCTACCTATTAGTCCTGGTGTTGGCATTTTTTAATTTAATGAAAGGTAAAGCAGAACCTGGTTTTGCATAAGAGAATACTAGCAATGGAAGGGGCCTCCGAAAGCAGCCTACTGGTCCTCACCATAGCTTAGCTAAGTGGACTCTTGGATATCTTTTTCTAAAGACTAACATAATTATCAGTTAGTCATAGTACAAAACTCTGTTAAGCTTGAACAAACGGCATCCATGTGCTAGATACTGTGGAGAGCATAAACACATATGAAGAGACGTTGCTTCTATATCTAGCCTGGCTGGGAAGATAGTATACACACACAAACTAGACTAATGATCCTAGGATAACAGAAGGGTAAAGAAAAACCTGAGCTGAGGCCTGAAGGATGGTGGGATGTGAAACAGCAGAAAGAATTATGGAAGACAGAGGAATGAACACAACAAAGGTTAGCAGGATTTGCCAGGCATATACGGCAAGTACTGAGACATCAGCTTGCTTGGAAGATTTCAGGAGTATTCTAAATGCCTAAGCTAGCATCCTTGAGTGGTTGTGCTGTTATAATCATAGAACAGAAGTCTCTTTGAAGTACTGCTTTATCACGTATGACTCTAAAATTGGTTAGAATCAATTAGAAAATACTTTGAAATCTAGTGCAAAAGAACATGAGAAGGAATAGTTTCTGCCACTTGGGTGGAGCAGAAGGGGAAGCCAATAAGAGGCTACTTCACAAGTCCAGGACTCAAATACTATGTTAGTCTATTGTTACAAAAATGGCAGAGTTACAGGGGTGGGAGAAGGAGTAAGGAGAGCAGGAAAAGAATAAATAGATACAACCAGCATACTGGAATAGGTGAAGGGAATCTGAAATTAATGGATGATTATTCATTTCATGAATTGCAATTAACGAAAAGAAAAGAAACTAAGAAAAGGGTTAAAAAAAGTTCTGGGTCCACAATTAAGGTTGCATAGTGGAATGTACTTGGGGCGGCGGGAGGGGTGCGGGGGGAATGTGTACCAGGGAGGGAGTGTTTCTTTTACTTTTGAAAGAAAGGAGCGAACTGGGGGCGGGGGGAGGAGAGCTAGGCAGGGAGAGAAGTGCAACAATGAATGAATGGAAGTCCAAAATCTCTGTAAATGCTCATTAAAATTATTTTTTAAAAAAAATAAAGCTTAAAAAAAAGTTCTGGGATAGATGTGTAGACTAGTGGAAAGTAGGATATGAGTACTAGGCATACATTCAAGCTCTCATCCTCTTGACTTCAGCGTTCCCCATAGGCAGACCAACCCTGCTGACCAATCCTGATCTTTCTTTAAAGTCCTTATCTCTCAATATCCTAGATGCCAAGCTACTTCGCGCAAATATTCCTTGTCTGAGACATCTTTCTTCTTCATTCAATTACTGGTATTCCTTAAAGTTCAGCACTTTTTCCACCATTCAGAATTCTATACACTGTGAAGGAGATATTTTTGTCATTTTATTTCTAAATGAAGAGGACGGGACTGTGAGAGGCAAACTTGGGGGTAAGTAAGGAGACTTCCAGCCTTACATGCTCTGATTCCAAATCTGTGCACCTCTATGCTCTGTCTCATTTCCTCCATAGCCCAAGAAAAAATCTCAACTCATTATAATCCAAAGTCAACAGATTGCTCAGCTCAGCCTTTCCCCAGGTTCTCAGAGTGCTGATACAATCACAGGTCTCTAGTCTGTCTTCCTAGCATTATGGAACATTGGAGCTGGAATAATTTTTTACAAATCATCAAATCCAAATCCATAAGTCTTATAAGAATGGGGCTATGAAGTTCAAAGAATGGTAAGAAGTTATCTAAGATGAAGCAGAAAATCAGAGGTAGTACCAGGACTAAACCCAAGTCTTCTGACTTCCAGATTTATTCCACTTACACTAAATTTTTATCTAATGTTTTATATCTTGCAAAATATCTTGATATAAGGCATCTCCTATGCCCTTTGTCATAATCCTGTGATGTAGTTATTCCCTCTCTATTTAATGATCTGGATTATTAAATCCAGTGAAGATAAAGGGACTTGTCCAAGGTCAGATAGCTTGATAAGGTGGCAACCATGACACATTCAGGGAGAGCTGAGTTACAAATGAGATGGTGGTATTGGCAAAGATTCAGCAGAAAACCTCATAGTATCCCAGGGCAGGAACCAAAGCTCAGACAGATCTCAAGGGAAAATGCAAATTGCAAATTAGAACTCAAGGACTCTCATTGTTCAGGGCTATGACTGTATTACTCTTCTGGTTTCCAATATGTCTGTTCTTTCTCATGTTGAGGCCTCCAATTTTACTCTCTTTTATTCAACCCATATGTGACTTTGATTTGGTACTACTCTAGCTCTGAGCTGACAGTGCCTCAGATATCCACTACCCACTAGCACAGACTTCCAGTCTTGTAGTTTTAAAGTGTGCAATTCTGATTGAATTCAGCTGTAACTTTTTCTAAAAGCAGCACCTACAGGCAGTTACAAAATAATCTCATGTTCTTTTACAGGTACGAATCCAGATCTTCTGACTTACGGTCCATTTCCAGAGATGCACTTGGTTTCCATGTCCTTTCCATAACCCTAACTGTAATTCCACATCTGATTTTCATTCTATCCTCTTCCCATTAAGTCCAAGAACAAGCCAGGAGTGTCTTTATGTCTCTCTTTCATTCCCAGGTCACCATGCAGAGCATTGACAAGGAGAACCACAGCTATGTGTCTGAGTTCATTCTCCTGGGCTTCTCCAGTGAACCACAAGTCAGAATGTCTTTGTTCACCTTCTTTCTCCTCGTCTATCTCACCACCCTTGTGGGCAATGGACTCATCATCACCCTGATCTACTTGGATTCACACCTCCATACACCCATGTACTTCTTCCTCAGTATTCTCTCCTTAGTGGACATGAGCTATGTCACCACCACTGTGCCCCAGATGTTGGTTAATATGCTATGTCCAAGGAGAACCATCTCCTGGGGAGCTTGTGTAGCCCAGATGTTCATATTCTTAGTTCTGGGCATTGCTGAGTGTGTCCTCTATGCCATTATGGCGTATGACAGGTATGTAGCTGTTTGCTTCCCCCTTCACTACACCCTACGTATGAACCATTCCACTTGTATTAGGATGGTCATAATTTGTTGGTCCATCAGCATAACTGGAGCCCTGATTTACACTGTCTTCACCATGCACCTGCCTTATTGTGGCCCCTACAAGATAAACCACTTCTTCTGTGAAGTCCCTGCTGTCTTGAAGCTGGCATGCACAGATACATCCTTCAATGATCATTTGGATTTTATTTTAGGTTTCATCCTACTTCTGGTCCCACTGTCCCTCATACTGGCCTCTTATGTTCGTATCTTTGCCTCCATATTAAGAATCCGCTCAGCCCAGGGCCGGTTCAAGTCCTTCTCCACATGTGCTTCCCATATCACTGTGGTCATCATGTTCTATGGGCCAGCCATGATGATGTACATGAGGCCTGGGTCCTGGTATGACCCAGAGAGGGACAAGAAGTTGGCTCTGTTCTACAATGTTGTTTCCGCCTTCCTCAATCCCATTATCTACAGCCTAAGGAACAAAGATGTAAAGGGAGCTTTTTTGAAAGTTCTTGGAGGCAGAGGGGCAGTTCAGTGACCCAGGATGTTTCAGATTTTCCCAGTCATGCATGGGACTAGATGTGACTCATTGATATCAGTGGGAAAATCAAGTTTCAGACCAACCTAAGGCTTCCTGGTAATGGATGCAGCTGGAAGAGAAATTGGTTTCCCTTAGGGAGCTCTGGTGGCCTAGTGGCAAGAAGCTGCACTGCAATCCCAGAGGTACACTGTTCAAATCTACCAGATGCTCTGCTGAAGAAAGAGGGGCAATCTTCTCCTGTACCAGTCAGATATGATTTAACGGTACTCACAAAAATAATAAAATTTAAAAACAAAAAGAAATTTATTTCCTTTGGGGTCCTCTGATTGAAACTGCTTGAAAGGTTATCAGTTGCTACAAAGATTCATTTCAGTATTGGAGGGAATGGAGATCTTGAAAAAACTGTCTTTGTGGTTTGCAACCATTAGTTTTGTGTTTGTCTTGGGTTGTGAATTTATGTCAGCCAGATCACAGCTAAATATACATATGCTATTTTATAGTGTAAAGTAAGCTGGGTAAAAACAACCGAAGTAACAGAGAATATGTAACAACATAGTCTTACATGACTGCATGACTGCATGCCTGCCTGACACATAGCTATAGGTTGTTGTTGTTAGGTGCCATAGAATCAACTACAACTTATAGAGACCTTATGAACAACAGATCTGAACCTTGTCCTTTCCTGCCCCAACTTCACAATCTCTGCCATGCTCAAGTTTGTCACGACAGTCAGTGTAACATTCCATCTCACTGAGGTTCTTCCTCTCCATTGCTAACCCTCTACATATCCCAGCATAATGTCTCTCCAAAGACTTGTTTTTGCTGATAATATGCCCAAAGTAAGTGAGATTGCATTTCACGATCCTTGCCTCTAAGGAGCACTTTGGTTGTACTTTCTTCAAGATAGGTTTAGTTTGTTCTTTTGTTACTGCGTGACATATATAATACTTTCCACCTATACCATCATTCAAAGGCCTCAATTCTTTGGTCTTCTTTATTCATCGTCCAACTTTACAATGCACAGAAAGCAACTGAAAATACCATGGCTTGGATCAGGCACATGTTCCTCTTTTAAACTGGCATCCTTGCTCTTAAACTTTGGAGAGGTCTTTGACAACATATATCCCCCAATGCAAAACATCTTTTGATTTCTTGACTGATGCTACTAGGAGTGTTGATTGTGGACACAAGTAAAATTAAATTTTTTACAACTTCCATCTTTTCTCCATCTATCATGATTTTATGTATTGATTTACAGATGAGAATTTTTGTTTTCTTGATGTTGAGATGAAACTCATATTGAAATCTGTCGTCTCTGATCTTCTGCATAAAATGGCTGAAGTCCTCTTTACTTTTGGCATGCAAGGTTGTGTCATTTGCATAATTATTAATGAAAATCCTTGGAGACAGAAGGATAGTCCTGATGCCAAATTCTTCTCCATAATCCAGCTTCTAGAATTATTTGCTTATCAAACAGATTTGAATAGGTATGAAGAAAGAATACAACTCTTATGCATGTCTTTCTCTGATTTTTAAAAAAATTTTATTAATTTTAATGAACATTTACAGAGATTTTGGATTTCTATTGATTCATTGTTACACTTATTTCCCTGCCCACCCCTCTCCCCCGCCCAGTTCGCTCTTCTCTTTAAAAAGTAAAAGAAAAATTTTGTTAGTATACAATCCCCCCGTACACTCCCCACCACCACCCTGAGTACATTCCACTATGCAGCCTTAATTCTGGACTCTGGTGATAACCATAATACCCTATTGTATATTGCTTTTAAACTGTTCTCTCCCTCATCTGTTTCATCGCAGTATACATAATTTATCCAGTTTTTCTCAGTCTCACCCCACCCTGATATCAGTCCCATTCTACAACGGTGACGCCATGCAGTATTTGCCCTTTTGTGACTGAGATAGTTCACTCAGCATAATGTCCTCCAGGGTCACCCATTTTTAATAATATTGCATGACTTCCTTGTTTTTTAATGCAGTGTAATATTCCATTGTGTATAGCTTCTCTATCCATTTGTTTGTTGATGGACAGTTGGGTTGTTTCCAACTCCTTGCTATTGTGAACAAAGCCGCGATAAATATGGGTGTGCATATATCTGCTTGGATGTCAGTTTTGGTTTCTTTAGGATATATTCCCAGTAGTGGAATTGCTGGGTCAAATGGTATCTCTCTTTGCAACTTTTTGAGAAAGCGCCACACTGTCTTCCACAGTGGTTGGACCATTTTATACTTCCACCAACAGTAAGGGTTCCAGTTTCTCCACAACCTCACCAGCATTTGTTGCTTGCTGTTCTGTTAAATTTTGCTATTCTGACTGGGGTGAGATGATATCTCATAGTTGTTTTGATTTGCATCTCTCTTAGGGTTAGGAATTTTGAACATTTCTTCATGTGCTTGGCCATCTGAATGTCTTCTTTGGTGAAGTGTCCATTCATATCCTGTGCCCATTTTTCAATTGGATTATTTACCTTTATCTTGTTGTGGTGCTCAAGTATTTTATAAATTCTGGATATAAGTCCCTTATCTGACCTGTCGTAACCAAATACTTTCCCCCAGTCTGTGGCTTACCTTTTCACCCAGTTGAAGAAGTTTTTGGTTGTGCATAGGGATTTGATTCTTAGAAGGTCCCATTCATCTGTTTTATCTTCTCCTGGTTGTAGAGTCTTTCCTTGATTTTAAATCATACAGTTGTCCCTTGTTCTGTTCAGATAACTGCTTATTGTTCTTTGTACAAGTTTTGCATGGGCACAATGTGCTCTGAAATTCCCATTTTTTCCCAATGTTATCCATAATTTGTTATGATCCACACGGTCAAATGTCTTTGCATAATCAATGAAACATGCACCTATAAGTATGTGGTGACTTAGTGATAAGGAAAATTGCACTGACAATACAAAGGTATACAGCTCGAATCCACCAGATACTCCACGGGTGAAAGATGGGCAGTCTGCTCTCATGCAATTAACTGCCTCTAAAAACTCCCTGGAGGGTCAGGTAGGGATTGGTTCCAACTTGATGATATACAACAACAAAAACACCACAAATAAGTAATATTTTAATACTATTAGAAGTATACTTTGGGGATTATACACTTCTAATTTACTTTTGTTGTTTTTTAGGCATCACCAAGGTGATTTTGACTAATAGTGACTGTCTATGAACAACAGATCTGCCCTGTCCTATCTTGTGCCATCTTCATCATGTCTGGCATACTTGGGCCCATTGCTACCGTCACTGTGTCAATCTGTCTTGTTGAGTGTCTTCCTCGCTTTTGCCAACTCTCCACATTTCCAAGCATAATGTCCCTCTCCAAGAAACAGTCTTTCCTAGCAACATGCTCAAATTATGTGAAACAGAGCTTTGCCATCTTTTCCTACAAGGAACATTCCAGCTGCACTTTATCCAAGACTTACCTGTTTCTTATTTTGGAAGTTTATGGGATTTTGTTTTTCTTGTGTACCGTTGAATCAGAATCAACCCAACTGACTCTCTTTTCTCCAATACCACAACTCAAAGCCATAAATTCTTTACTATCATTATTATTCATTGTCCAACTCTCAGATGCATAGAAAGTGATTGGGAAGGCCATAGGCTGAATCAGGTACACCTTAGCCCTCAAATTAACATCATTGTTCCTCAGTAATTTGGAGAGATTCCTGACTACAGACATTCCCAATGCAATAAGTCTCCTGATCTCCTACCCACTAATGCTAAAGATGTTGGTTCTAGACCAGGTAAAATGAATTTGTTGACAATTTTAACCTTTTCTTCACCTATAACAATATAGTCTATTGGTTCAATGGTGAGAATTTTTGTTTTCTTGATATTAAGATATAGTCCATATTGTAGGCTGTAGTCTTTGATTTTCTACCACAAGTCCTTCAAGTCTTCCTCACTTTCAGCAATCAAGGTGGTGTCATCCTCATAGCACAGGTTGTTGATGAGTCTCCTTACAATCTTCTTCATAGAGTCCAGTTTATCAAATGATTTTCTTAGCATACAGATTGAATAGGTATATAAAAAAGATACAATCCTGATATACAACTTTCTTGTTTTAAACCATGTAGTGTTCCCTTGCTTGTTAAAACTATAGCCTCTTAATCTAGGTATAGATTTTGCATGAGCACAATTAAGTGTTCTGGGATTCTCATTCTTCTCCATTTTAGCCATAGTTTGTTATGATTCATACAGTCAAATGTCTTGGCATAGTCAATAAATATGCTTTCTTTTGATATTCTCTGTTTTCAGCTAGGACCCATCTGAAATCAGTAATGAGACCCCTGAAGCCATGACTCTTCTAAACCCAGTCTGAACTTCTGCATGTCACTGTGCAATTTATTAGATATTCCTAAATTACTCTTCTTTTATTTTATTAATTTTAATGAAAGTTTACAAAGACTTAGGGTTTCCATTCATTCATTGTTGCACTTTTCTCCCTGCCCACCCTTCCTCCGCAATTCGCTCTTCTTTCTGAAAAGTGTAAAAAAAAAATTCTTTTTTTTTAATGGTGAGAAAAATTTATATTTCGAATTAGCCCACTGGACTCAGTTTAGATGATCCCAATTTTGTTGGCAACATCCAAAGCATCATAATCAGGAGCAAGTCGAACATAGGCCTTCTTCTCTCCATCAGGCCTAATCAAAGTGTTAGCCTTGGCCACATCTGGTGTTTATTTGTCTTGACATCCACAATGAACACAAGTGTGCTGTTATCTTCTATCTTCTTCATAGCTGACTCAGTGGTCAGGGGAAATTTGATGATGGCATAGTGGTCAAGCTTGTTTCTCCTGGGGGTGCTCTTCCGGGGGTATTTGGACTGCCTTTGGAGTCTCAGCGTCTTAGGCCGCCGGAAGGTGGGTGACGTGCGGATCTTCTTTTTCTTTTTACTGTGGATGCCCTTCAGGACTGCCTTCTTGGCCTTTAATGCCTTTTCTTTGGCTTCAGTTTTGGGAGGGGCAGGGACTTCCTTCTTGGCTTTTG